ACAATGGTGTGGTGAGGGACTGGAGAGGGGGTGGGGCGGGGTGGAATGGGTCAATGGGGAGAAAAAGGGACATCTATAATATTTTGAACAAAAATTAAAAACACACAAATGTACGTAGGTGCTGGGGAAACAGAGACAGGTCGAGGGACTAAGTTGAAGGGCCAAGTCACACAACTACTCAGTAGCTCAGAGCACACGTCTGTGATTCCCATCTCCTCACTTCAGTTCTGCACTTTCAACCACAGTCATGACCAGGAACAGGTAAATCTCTGGGGCTAAAACAGGTCATTCCAGGGACAGTGCCCAAACCACAGGCCAAGACGGAGCACGTGGCGTTGCTTCCATCGGTCCAGGAGATCTGGACCCTGGGGGTGTGAGACACATGGTGGTGGGGACTGCCTTCTTCCCTGTGCTCCCCGCTTACTCTTCAGTTTGTTCCGGACGTTGTTGGCCCTTTTCTTGATCTCAGCCGTGAGCTGCTCTAGGTCATCCTTGGTTTCTGGGTAAATGAAGGCAGGTAGGACCAGTTAGAAAAGACTAATTGCTTTGTAAGCTACGTCAACAGAGAAGGAAGGGAGCTTCCTCAGGCACCCACCTCCCAAAGCAGTATCTACCCCAGTGGGCTCCCCAGACATCCATCAGAATCGGAGAGAGCTAACTTTTAAAAGGCATTTTCCAGGCACCTCACCCCAGAATTACAGAATAACCCCCTCCCCCCCCGGGGTTGGAGCTCTACCCTCCGCCTTTTTAACAAGCCTTCCCAAGTGATTCTCTGGCACACACAGTGTGAGAAACCTGCTTTTAGAGGAAATAACCTGGTTTACCAGGAGGGCGTCAGCTCAGAAGGTAGAACAGGGATTTTATGGGACTTCTGAGGAAAAGAGTTCCATGGATCACCAACTTAGAATCAAGCAAATATTTATGACATACCTACTGTGTGCACAATGCTGACCTAGGAGGTACGGAGCAAAATGAGTTCTACCTGTGACCACCCTCCAGCACCTACTACAGGCTTGGAACTGAGCTAGAAACTACGCCGTCAGGGAGAAGATACAGAGCCTGCCTTCAAGCTGTTCGGGGTCCAGCGGGGGACAAGGGACACCGCTGACTACAGATCTGCTGTGCGGTGTGGAGGAAGGTGTGAGCTCTGGCCAAGGCGTGCATGGGTGGTTATGGACAGCCCACTAGCACAGCTGGGGGACCTGGAAAAGCTTCTAAAGACAGATGAAAACACTCTCGAAGAAAGACTCAGAGTTATTTAATCAGGGTGAAAAGGTGACTAAGACTACAGTCTCAGGGAGAAGAAACAGTACGTGAAAGACCTGCGGGGACAAGAAGCATTTGAGGAACCAAGAGCTCAGTCTGGCTACAGTGTAGGTAACATGGGGGAGGAAGGCGGGAATGCGGCCAAGACCATGCCCAGGGGCTCTGCTAACATGTTTCAAACTTAATCTTTAAGTAGCAGTCACTGAGAAATAAAATAACAGTCTCGAGCTGTTCCTTGTTCTTATGGGATCTAAAATGTAGCCCTAAACTCTACTCTAAAAATGTGAAATAATTAGGGGGGCAAAAGTTTGCCTCCATGGTGGTAACAAACAGATTAGTGGTGGGAGGGCCTGGTGTGGACTTGCACCATTCTGGAGCATCTCGTAAAAGAGAAACGGACTTGATCTGGTAAGACTTAGAAGGAGACAGCACAAGCAAAGGGGCCGAGGTGGGGCAGAGACGAGGTTCATTAGAAGCAGTAAGACTCACTCGGCCGGGCGTGGCTCAGCAATTGAGCATCGACCTAGGATCCAGGAGATCGAGGTTCGATTCCCGGTCAGGGCACATGCCCGGGTTGCGGGCTCGATCCCCAGAGGGGGGCGTGCAGAAGGCAGCCGATCAATGACTCTCTCATCATTGATGTTTTCTTTTTCTCTCTCTTTCTCCCTTCCTCTCTCTGAAATCAATAAAGACATATTTTTAAAAAAAGAATCGCTGCCATGAGCAACCAGTTGGGCAGTAGAGAACGTTTGGCTGAACGGATTACGTGGGAATGAAGAGAAGAGCTGGCTGGGGCTGGGCAGGGCGAGCCCAGTAACGTAGAGGAGAATGGGAGGTGATGCGATGTGTACACTGGTGGAATACAATGCCCGCCTACGCTCCCCTGCTGTTCACACAGGGAAGGAAAAACAAGACTGGCTCAGCCCCCATGCCAAGGGTCACCGCTGGCTGACTCATCCCTGGGTAAACACTCACTCGGCTCTGGAATTGGTGCAGAGAGAATGATACTGTAGAGCTTCTTCGCCTCCTCCACGTTCTCAGAGATCTTGTCAATGTTGAGCCGAGTTTCCTCGATCTACAGTCACAAAGACAATAGCAGCCTTGGTCATCAAAGAGGAAGATTATGTCCACGACTGAGATGAAAGCTGAGAGCGCTCCCCGGTGAAAGCTGCCCACCTTCTGGGTTTGGGGGAGATGATGACTAAAATGCCCTCTGCTGCCCAGTGAGTGCGCTTTTCATAGGTTAACTAATCTCAACAGAGCGGTCACTGAAAATTCATACTCTTCTGCCCACCTTGGATGATGGGAGGATTCAGGCCAGAGTCAGAAAGAGCCAGGAAAGCCCATGAAGAGGAACCATAGGGAGGGGTCAACACGCCTGATCAGGCAGGGCCTTTAGCCCCCTGCAAACACCCCCCCAACACGAGAAGAGAGAGTGAGGATGGGGGAGGGGAAAGAGAAAGACGGAAAGAAGTGACGAGGGGAGAGCAAACCCAGAGAGTGAAAAGCAGAGAAAGCAGAGCCCAGCCAGCGTGGCTCAGCGGTTGCGCGTCGACCTAGGAACCGGGAGATTGGGTTCGATTCCCGGTCAGGGCACAGGCCCGGGTTGCGGGCTCGATCCCCAGCGGGGGGCGTGCAGGAGGCAGCCGATCACTGACCCTCATCATCGATGTTTCCATCTCTCTCCCTCTCCCTTCCTCTCTCTGAAATCAATAGAGACATATTTTTAAAAAACAACAAGAAACAGCGAAACAGAAACGGAGAAAGAGATAAAGGAGAGAGGAAGGGCGAGACCAAGCAGCGGCCGCCCGGGAGCAGCCCGAGCCCCTCTCCGACACACTGGCATCTTATGCAGCCGATTCCCTCCGACGATCAAGGCCCGGAAGCACGGCCATTCCCGCACACCCCTAAGGCTGGCTCCTGACCGCACAGGTGTGTGTCGTAACGCGTTTCCAGCAGCTCTTCCTTCCCAGGGGGAACCCCATCAGAGCACGCTGCGGGACCATGGGCAGCCTCACCCCCGTCCCCTCTTCAAAGCCCCAGCCGCCTCAGTCCCCTGGCCCCCGCCTCCCCGCCGCCCATTCCGGGAGCAGCCGCGCTGAAGAGGCCTGAAAACCCACCTCGTCTACCTGCCTCACTCCCAGAGTGAGGGGCACGTCAGCCCTGCAGCGAGGAAGGAACAAGAAGCCTGTGAAATGCCAATCAGGAGGGTCTGAACATCTGAGATGCAACAGAAATACATCTCAATTTGGGGCTTCCAGCATCCCTTTCTTCCACAAATAATTAAACCTGATCATAGCTCTCCAAACTGCAGGAAAGTAGGAGAATAAAACCGCAGTTCTCTAAGCCTCAAATCGGTGTCTTTGCCAATGGACCAGGGGCTTTCCCTCCATAAATATTGGCCTCGATGGGCCATAGTTGGAGAGTTGAATCACTTGCTTAAAGACGGAGAACAAAATGTCAGTGTAATAATATCATCACAGGATATATATATACACAAATATAAGGAGCTACCCAAACATTTGTGAAACATTTTAACAGTTGGCAAAACAATCCACAGTATTGCATTAGTACCGTTATTCAAATAAGGAACCTAATATTACAGAGGTCCTCGGTCACATAGTTGGTGCCAGGGACAGCACTCAAACAGTGCTTTCCAGGCTCCAAGGAGGATGCTTTTCCCATTAGATCTAAGGCTTGATGGTTGGCCTCTCCATACTGTTTCACTTTTAGCAGAATCCCAAGCCTATGGGACTATAAAAATGGCCTGTTATCACCTGTGAAATCCGGCAGCCTCAGAGGTGTAACCAGATCAGAATCAGGCCCTCTGGTGACCCACAAATTGCCGCCTTCCCTTCCCCTTCCCCTTTATCTCTCACATCAGATATTGGCTCCTCTTGACAACTCATAAAATGTCCTTGCATCACAGCAGGTTTCCATTTCCATCACATGACTGTCTTGCCAAAGAAATTACATTACATAAAACAGGACTGAGGGAGAAAGGCTTTCCAGAATAAAATGTACTAACCAGTGATAAGTGAGCTTGACATACTTTCACAAGCCAGGGGCCCTAGATTCTGCACGTTCAATGGATCAGATGTCTTAGAAAATATATGCTGGAATTTTATTTCACAAAACTGAAGAGCACCGTGACCCAAAGTTCAGTCAATGGCATAAAAAAACAAGACAGGAAGCTGCTGGGATGAGACGGCTGGGCCTCACGCTCAGAGTAGTTCCAGACATTTGGAAGCTGGATGGGAAATGACTTGTCCAGCCCTGGGGACAGGAGAATGGGGCCTTGAAACTGCATCTTCAACCTGCCTGCAGGACTTCCTGGGCCTGGGGAGCATGCACCTCCTCTCCACTCCCAACTCTGCTCTTTCCTCTGTGCTCACCAACCTTGCCTTTCGGAGGCATTTCAGAAACTGATTTAGTAATTTAGTCAGTGCACCAAATAATCACCTTTCAGAACCTCAGGATGGGCAACTGACCAGCCTACAGGAGCCATTCTTTTTATTGACAGTTTGTGTTCAATGCAAATCAATTCCATAGCATGAGAAGTTAACATGAATCAAAGCATAAATACACAAACACAGTCTACAATTCAAAATAGGCGCCCAGCATTCAGGCAGGAAACAAAAGGAATGTCCATTCACACGAACAGTAGCTGGAGATCTGTGGGTCTGGTGTTCCTGGGTAGGTTACCAAAGATGGGAAAAATGACTCTGGTTAGCAAGACTACCGTGGCCATATGGATACTGGAACATCTAAGCATCAGTGTGTGACCGTGTGAATAAAAGGCTTTGGGGCATGTCTGTTTTTATAAAGGCTCTTCCATCAAGGCAGCTGTGAAAAGATTTACCTTCCAGAATCAAGCCCACATCAGCCTTTGGATCGGGTCCTAACTATTTAAACTTATTGAAAGCTTTCTTTTTTTGAACTTTGTTGTCTTTATTTTTTCTTGGAAGTGTTGGTTTTTCTCGGAGGTGACTTTTGAGTATTCCACAGTGGCAGCTGCTGGCCATTAACTTCCCCTTGAGCATCTGCCAGACAAAGAATCATGGGGGTGGGGAGGGCGCCCAGGAACCAGGAAGCTACAGGCCATCCACACTTGCTGAACCTAAAAGCTCAAGGCTATTTGTGTGTTTGCTTGGGGTTGTTTAAAGCGTAATGACATGACCCTGCACAATAGTACGTGTAGGAACTAAAACTGATTTAACACGTATCTGTATCAGAAGCAAGGCCCTCACAGGATGACTGTGAAGTCACTGTCACTTTCTCCCTTTTCTGCATGAGAACACTGTGGCTCAGGGAGGTCGAGAAACTCACTCAAAGCCATACCGCAGAAAGGGAAAATCAAGGCCTGAATGCCAGCATCTGCTAGATACTAAACCCTGATCCAGGCAAAGGTGCAAGAACCACCCGTGGGAGGCTCCTCTGCCTTGTCTCCCAGGTCGAAGCCGTTGGCCTGGGCCCAGTTATGTGCAAGTTCGGTGTATTGTTGTGTGAGAGGCGCTTGGCAGCCTTTCACTGCGATCTGTGCGTTTTTTCTTTGTTCTCTGACCAATGCTTCCTCTGGAGAGCTTTTTACACCAGGTGTGCTCATGAAACACCTCTGACCTAGGGAACCAATCAGGTTTTCCTCATCACCATGCTAAATTTGCAGCCAACACATCTTCAATACCTGCTTATTGTACGTTACTTTTTAAAACGTATTTTTCAATGATTTGTCAGCAACGTGGAAATCCAGATAGCATAGTTTAGGAAAGTAAGTTAGAATCAAATGGACCAAGTTCAAGTTTCCACTCCACCTCTTAGCAGTTTTATGACCTTGAACAAGCCACTGATCGCCACCCCCAGTTCTCTCACCTGTGAAATGAGGATTATCATAGTTCTCACTTCCTAGAGCTGTTGTGGTGTTTAAATGAGATAATACATGGCAACCACTTAACATAAAGTACATGCTCAATAAACATTAAATGGTGGTGATGATGATACATCATAACCGGCAATTACTGCAGTTATTATATGCCACGTACCGGGCTGCGCCTGCACAAGGGCATCTCATTTACTTCTCACAGATTAATTATAACAAAGTGCTGTGTGATGTCCTCAAGAGCACCCAAGGAAATCAAGTTAGGACAGCAAGGAGACTGCTCTTCAAGTTGGGTGTCTGCCTCATGGAACAAATTATAATTAGCACAGTACACTAATCACCATCATCTAACTAAAAGGAGAGGGTTATTTTCAAGGCATGGACGGCCTCTTGCCTCTGGACCTAATCAGTCAGTGGAATTTAAGCGGAGAAAGTAGCACTTTGGAGAACTGGCAGGGGCCGTGGGCTAGAGGAGAAGGTTTTGTCCATTCTACCTACAATGTCCCTGCCTCCCCTGAGTGCCCACGTGCCTGTACCTCCAGTTAGGCAAATTCCTGAATACTTATTTATTGAAAACATATTATGTGCCACCCCTTTAATACGACAAAGCAATAGAATGGAAGGGTCAAATAAATGACTCTTCCTTTTCAAAATTCATTACTTTCCCCCCAAAATGGTATAATCCAAAACTGTCCTCATATTAGTAGTTCTCAGTCAAGTCCTCTTCGATTTCTTGGCCTCTTTGCTTTGGAAAACAAATAAACATTGATGAGAAGGGACAGAGAGAGGTCTTAGTCAGCCAAGCAACAGAAGGCAAACTCCTCAGGGGTTTTATCAAAACCGGGACTAGTGGTTCAATTCTCTTTTATGAATGAAAATAAACAAACGATCTTAGTTATACTGACCAGTGAAAAGTAGTATTCTTAGACAATAATCTCAAATCAACTCAGTGTTTTTGGGCTTTGCATCGCTCAAAATTGAGCCAGGAAAACAAAAGCCTATCTAGTTATTTTAATGGAAATAACAGAGTACAGGGAATTTTTTACACAGAGATGGAAGGGCCAAGAAGCCAAACAGCGGATGGCGAGACACTCAGGAAATTAGCAACAGCAGGTTGGAGGGACAAAGAGGGAAGGCAGGGTCACCTGGGCCTAAGGCCAGGGCCCCTTGGATGGGAGCCAGACCATGGTGAAGTTGACCAGCAGAATGGGACCATGGAGGCAAGGTCTGTGGAGTGAAAGTTGAGGCCACAGGGGAGACATGTCTGGGGAGGAAAGCCATGTCGTCTCCCCTCCTCCTCGAGTCTTCCACCAGTTCCTCCCATAGATCAAACACACCAAAGCTAGTTGGCAAGAGAACCTGGGAAATGAAGCAGAAGAAGGGTGGGGAACAGACCTGAGAGCAAATAGGTAAATGACCGGCAAGGGCTTCCTGCTTGCCTGCTGAAGAGCCCAGAAATGCAGAGCCTGCCAGCTCCCCGGGTCACCCAAACAGTCCATGTAAAGAAAGCATCAAGGAGTATTTAACCTGCTGTATTTAACTTAATGCATGGATTTCCAAGTACATTCACTTCGAGGTTCTTAGTTTTTTTGTTTTTTTAAAAATATATCTTTATTGATTTCAGAGAGAGGAAAGGAAGAGGGAGAGAGAGAGATAGAAACATCAATGATGAGAGAGTCACTGATCGGCTACAGCCCGCAACCCGGGCATGTGCCCTGACCGGGAATCGAACCCTGATCGCTTGGATCCTAGGTCGACGCTCAACCGCTGACCCACACCCGGCCGGGCGAGGTTGTTAGTTTTAACAAAAATCAAGCCCACCTAGCAAATCCTTATGCTTTCAAGGCTGCTCCCCCTCTCCCCGTCCCTCTAAGCAGGCACGCTCCACAGCACTTTGCCCGCACTCTACCCACTCTCGCTTCTCCCGGTCCTGACTCAGGTCTCCTCCAGGGCTGAGACTGTCTTGTTCGTCCTAAACAACCTGGCATCCACCATTGTGCCAGGCATGTGGTATCACTCCATAGAAGTTTGTTCAATGGATAAATAAATGGACATAAGTAACCGCAGGAGACAAGCATACACCACTGCAGAACAGTCTCATTGACTTTTTAAAAGCACGTCCAAAATAGAAAACTTTGATAGCATTTTCCAAAATGCAATCATTCATCCTTGTTAAGTGACACATCAGAGAGGGTTCTGTGAAAAAATAAATAGGCAAATAGGCAGATTTCTTTGTTACAGGACTTCTTGGGGCCTCTAATAAGTTAAGGTTCATTTTACACCTCCAGGGCAGGAAGGAGCAGGAAGCATTTCTCAGACATATTTGATCCCAGAAGTCTCTTTCGCAGGGCATCCTGCTGTCTGTGACAGCCATCCGCCGGCCCCTGCCCTTCTTGCTAAAAGAACTCTGATTTTATTTGGGCAGCAATGTTGCCAACTTCCCAGTCGGACCAGCACCTACACCCGCTTATTACTCTAACACATGAACAGGCCCGAGCCGGCAAGCCTCGCTCACTCCATGTAGACATAAACTAGAGGGTGACTTTTCCACACCTATAAGCTAGAGGATGGGAAGCACCCACGTGTTCCCTGGAAAGAATACAATGCCTCTTGTCTTCTTTCCAAAAAAAATTTAAAGCCATAAAAAGAAACCATAGTATGGTGGCAGAAACTTCAGTGACGGAACTTTTTGTGGTTTTGTTCTGTTGTTTTAAAGTATCATCATTGAGCCCATATATCTCCGATGCTACACTGAGTGTCTGAGAAACATTATCCCATTTAATCCTGATAATGACCCTCCGGGGAATTGTATTACCCACCCCAATCTACAGAGAAGGAAACCAAGCACGCAAAGAAACACTCGCAAGATCAACAGCTGGTCGGAAGCAGGGCTGAGGTTGGAACCCAAGTTCACCGGGCTCCAAAGCCTGTTTCTGGCCATGACACACTATCCCCCCCAGCTTCCCACACTCACCACCTACCGCAGCACCTTCCCAACAAGGGCCTTCAAAATCAAAGAGTGTGTGAATCTGTGGACAAGGGCAGCCCCTCTTTGTCCCTATTCAACTTCAAAAATATAAATTGGTGGTTTCTTGATTTCTCCATTATCACAATAATTAAGTCAAAGGAACTGAATTTTTGGAAACAAATCTGACCTATATGAACAGCAGGCCTGAAAACGCAATGCATTATATACTCGTAGCTGGGACCCCACGGCTGATCCTGTATTCAAATTATGTAATTTAGGCAAAAAAGGATATTGCTAAAATGTTGTCATGTAGCCTAAGACTTCAAAAGGGTCTCTTAAATAACTTACCTCCTGCTGACTTTCTCCATAAGATTAAAAATCCAAATCTGCCCAAGTCAGTCCTGGAGAGACTCTCCTTGGGGCATCTTGGTCTGGCTACCCCACCACAGTGAAAGACTGACTTTCTTTGCCACCCTGGAGATCTGAGGGTTTCTATTCTTTACTGAAGAAGACGTGTTTCCTTATGCATATTTAGGAACAGGCTCCCGACGGCGGCCTACCTCGGAGAAGAATTCATCCATGAAGGCCGTGTTATCAACGGCGATCTCGACCTCGTCAGCATCATCATCCTGCGTCAGCTGCTTCTGGGAGAGACAGAAAGGAGCCGGTGACACCAAAGCATGAGGACTTGGTAGCAGAGCTCGGTGCACACCAAGGGTCAGGAGCTGCACCCACCTAAGCATTTTACACATATAATCTCCTTGAAAACTCAGAACAGCTTTGTGATGTGCCACACTCCAAGGTCACACGGTCTGAATTTAAATCCTAGTTCCACCATTTACTGATTTTTAATTTGCAGGGTCGGGGAGGGAGGGAGGGACGGGCAAGTTACCATCCTCGCTGTGCCTCGGTTTCCTTATCTGTGAAACGTTAATAACACTACTTACTGCACAGGGTTAAGAAATCAATGAGATAATGAATATGAAATACTTCTGCGCCGTGTCTGGCGTACTGCAAGTACTCAATAAACTGCTCGTTTGGTGGTGGTGACATGACTAACACTCATTCCGGTCAGAGAACGAAAACACAGAAAGGTTAAGTAAATTGGCCACAGCCACACAGCTAAAACGTGAAAGCAGGCAGATTCTAGCCCATCGTTGGTCTGGAGACCATGTTCCAACCCCCTCTCTGCAGCGTTCAAATGCTCGATCCGCCCTACCAGGGATCTCTTAACAGTTTCCGGCCACTGTTCTTCCAAACAGCAGCTGCAAAGGTGCACAGGAGTGAAGATTCTCCTGTTTTCAGAAACCACCTGCTGCAAAGGAATCGGCACTGTGTTGTTCCCTGTCACGGTTCATGTCTGTAAGGAAAAGGGAGCTCTACCTCCCAGCCCCCAGCCCCTGTCCAGGCGGGCCCCAGCTTTCTTAGCCTCATTCAGTGTCCTCTGCAGAATCGCCCAACGGCTGTCTCAACGAAGGCGTCCCTTCCCACCCAGCACCAGGGGCCTGAGCTTCTGCTCTGTCCTTCTCCAACACTCTTCCCACCACTGCTGCACTGCACACGGCCCATTCCTAAGCACGGACGGCAAACAGGTAGCTGGGAGTGAAGGTGGGGGGGGCACACCTCCTACACCAGCTTCTTCACAACCTTCAGTGGCCTACGGCCTTCTAAGCCAAGACACGTCACCGTCAAACACTCAGAACTCCACGGGCAATGAAAGCCACCGGGGGCCTCTTTTCTTCACTGGCTACCATGCCCCTGATCTGCAACAGAAGATGGAGTTATTGGGACTTGCCATCAAAACGTGGGACTCTCTCTCTGGTCATCTGGGGAGTCTCTTTTGACTGGCATTCCCATTATCTCATTCTGCAGCTCAGCTGGAACCATTTGCCACCCAAATTTAACAGCTACGTTCAGAGGAGTTAAATTTGAGGCACTGCTACAGCCCCCCCCAACCCTCTTCCTAAAACTAAGACCTGATCATGTCCTTCTGCCACTTAAAGTCATTCAATGAGAGCTCCCCTCCCGGGACTAAAAGTCCCCACGCACAGCAGAGCTTGGGGCCCTTTAACTCAGGCCCCACCCCATTTCTCCCTCTGTGAGGCACTCTCTCGACCAGGCACTCCCTCATTTCCTGGACACATCACTCTTTCATGTTGCTGAACTGTCACACAGGGACTTCCTCCTGGAACGCACTTGTCCAGCTGGCAAATTTTTATTTAGCCTTTAAAACTCAATCTCCAACAATCTTACCTGTCAACCTGACGTGACACTTCCCTGCATGAACTTAAAACCTCCCTAAGCTCCCAATGCCTTTTATGAAAACTCACACAGCAGCCAACACAACTACTGCTAACATCCCTTTACTTATTGATCCTTCCCCCACTGATCACAAACTCCTGCAGGGTCAGGGTCACCGTGTGTACCTACTACAGTAGATGCTTTGAGTGTGTGTGCCTGCCCAGAACGCCCTCCTGTGTGGAGATACCCCTCACCTGCCCACATGATTCTGGGAAGGTTCTCAGTCAGGCCCCAGGCTCCCCGAGGAATCTGAATTGCGCAGGGGACACAGCAGAGTTGACCAGTGTCAGCACCCAACAGAGATATCTGCTAGGTTCCCAGAGCTACCCTCATTTCTGTCCTTCCCAAACCACCCCTGGGCTTAGGGCAGGTTCTGCAGACCTTCCTCAGTATTCTCTCAATGGGCGGAACAGTATTCTAACATTTTTTATTCATTTGCCCAGAATTGGCTCGTCACTTGCAATTAAAATAACTTGTACTGCTCATTAATTAATGTATTCCACATGTATTCTGGGCACTTACCCTGCACTAGCTACATAACAGAAATTTAATCAATTAATTTTAGCTGAATAGATAACTAATTTTCACATAGACCGGCAGCCTGCATTCACCCAGCAGTTTGTCAAGTTTGAGACAAAATGCTCCCTTCATCAACTATCGCGAATACTTGGGCCTCCCAGCGGCCTCCAGAGAGCTCACCTCCCAGGAAGGATTTCTGTGATCCTCACTAGCAATCAGGAACCCAGTCTACCTCTAGGAAGCATTTGTTGAGGGTTTCCTGTCTTCAGAGGTCTTCTAGAGACCCACGCTGAGGCACATGCCCCATGCATGTGTGTGTTCACCCACACACACGAGTGTGTCAACTCAGAGTTCTTCAAGCTGCACACGTGCTAAGAAAGTGGAATAAGGCCACCATCCCGGGATGGACTGAGGGAAGTTTCTGGAAGCTGGGAACTGCGTCCTGGAGCATGAGAGGCAGGCACCTAGCTCTCCAACATGACATAGGTTTTTTGAGACCCCTGGAATTTGTACAGGGACCTCCCATGTCCAAGACACCACCTCTTGGCTTTCAGCAGGCTCCTGCAGGGCAGTCCAGTCCACCTCCAGGGAGAGAATGTGTGAACCGGGAAAGGGGAAGTCCTTGGCAACTCACCACCGAGGTCCAAAACGTGTCACCAATTACTGGCTGGGAGACCTCCGGCAAGTCCCTTACTACTCTGAGGTTTTTACCTGTTAATATCAATAACACCACATGCTTGATCACATCTCTTGGGGGCTAGAGGAGGTCACATATGGAAAGCTTCTCAAACAATACTGGGTGTGCACCAGCACCTAGTAAGGGTCAGTTCCCCTGCCACCCAGCCATGAAGACCTGGTGCCTAAGGAGTGCACCCTTCTCCTCCGCAGGAGGTTGTCACACTACAGCTCAGTCAGTAAGACCGACTGCACAACCAGGGTTCCCTAATGCACTCCATGGCGTACCGGGCACTTCAACAACTGGCTTAACACCTCTGAGCCTCAATTTTCTTATCTACAAAATAGGAGCAATAGTGTCTACCAGGGCTTTTGTGAGGATTAAGAAAGATTACGTTTTAAAGTTCCTTATGCAATGAGCAGCACACAGTAACTCAATTAAACACCTGTGTGTAAGATTGCACCAACTCCTCTATAGCTTTAACCTGGATCTAAGGGCCTTTAAACAGGAAGGATGGGGGTGGGGAGGTGGGGGCAGAGGACTTGTAGAGCTCAATGCAACCTTACAGATTCTATCATTAAATTCTCTCACTTAGAGACGGGCCTACCAAGGCGCAAGACCAAATAACGATTTACTGACACAGCCAGTAACACGTGTTAGGTTTCCTGAATGCCATCTTCCCAGGCAGTTTCTCCCACTGGAGTGTGCTGCTTCCAAAACTATAAAATAACAGCAACCACAACAGCAACAAAGGGCAGATCAAAAAAGTCAAGGAAGGGGACCAGCCTTATAGGTGATCTGGACAATGCGGCTATCTGGAGTCACGTGACACTGGGAACTCCCACCAAGCTTCTCCAGAAAGGGACCCAGCAGACCCCAGGGCTGGGGCTCCCTCCCCTGCGACCCAGCCGTGCCCTTACAGTCCAAGAGGCCCCAGGGACCCCAAGGGCAAGGGAAGCACATGGTGCCTTTATCTTCAGCCCACATAACAGAGCACAGCCAAGAAAAGAACTTCAGCATCTTTATCAAAGAATCAAGGCGTGTGGTAATAGGAACGTTCCAGTAGCTGCAACATCAGCCACAGCAAAAAAAAAAACCTATGTGAGAACCATGCACCCAACCGCCCACTTCCTCTCCCCAACCCCGACCCCGACCC